AACCCCCGGAAAAATCATCATTAATGATCGGCACGTGCGTGATAACGCGTGCATTGGAGATAAAAACCATCTCCACCAATCAATTTTCACCGATAACCCATAAAGTTCCACGTGACCTGTATTCCCGCGTGCTTGTCTGCGCATGCGCTCATTGAAAAATTTCCTGAAAACCGATTGATCATTGCGAGAATCGATGACAAATGGAGATAATTCACGTTGAAATTCCATTCGAGACGAACTACCAATTTTATCGTTTAAATCATTAAGAAACATTTATAAAATTTGACAAATTCTTGAAGTAAAACAAATCATCTTCAATTATCGATAACTCAAGAACTATATTTTTTCAATCCTCGAAATAAAAGTTTGACTCATCAACATGGTATCATTTGTCCAGAAGATGCTAACGATTTTCATTTCACTCCACCCCCATATTTGCCATTCAATTAATCAATTAAATGATCAAAAAATCTCAAAATATATAAGGCAGTCTCAGCAAATGCAGATTGATCATTGCGGGAATCGGTGACAAATGCAGAGAGATAATTCGCGTTGAAATTCGAGGCTGCGTCCTCTCCGGTTCCTCGTTGGTGCCAGGCTCCCGCTGGCCCTCACCTCGTTGTCCCTACTCCAGTATTTCAGGTCTCTCCATCTCCCTCGAATTGTAACTCTGTCTTTTATCATTGAACTCCACCGTTCTACTGTCTCCCTTCAACAACTAGGGGATTCAGGCATTCGTAGCAACTCAACTCTGCGTTAACCGCCTACTCGAGAATCCCCGCATGCGTCCCTCGGACTCTTCCCTGCTGAGCTGACGGTATCTCCCACCCTCCCCCTAACCTCCTCGCAACCCACCCCCCCTCTCACCCCCTCGTCCGTGCACCACTCTCTCTCGTTTCTCTCCCTGCATGAGAGAGGTAACCCGTTGGTGTTGTGTACGTCTGCAACGCCCAGTCCGCCTCTTCGTTTCGCTTTTATCTGTCCTTTCTTGTTTCAGGGGACTGCTACCAACCGTTCCTCATTAACCGTGATGAACAACTCGGGGAGGGGAATTCCTGAGGGGAATGTATTCGAGGTTTTTCGGGGATTTTGAATTGATCGGGGTAATCGTAGTGATGAGGATCCAGAATTGTCATTACTTTTTGGGGGATTGAGAAGAAATTTACTGCACCTTAATTTTCAAATGAAACAGGAATGTTCAGCTTGTTTCTCAATTTCAGATTTCTATTTGCTTTCAGGGAATAATTGAATTAAAATTCACTGTTTTCACTGATTTTTTAATCAATTTGTGAATTTATAATGACGAATTCTCTGAAATTTCAGTGGAGGAATAGAAAAAAAAATTAAATGTCATGAGCACTTGATGATTCGAGAAAGATTTTCTTCAGGAAGAAATCGTAAAATTTCAAATTTCATAAAAAAATCAATTAATAATTGAGATTTACACTTCCCATTAATTTTTCCATAAAATATGAATTTTTAAATTTGTCATCAGCAACATATATGCAGATTTCACGTGAATTGATTGCCGTTAAGAATTTTAAGATTCTGTAATTGCAATTTTAAGAGTAATTTCTGACAATGTAGCAGACACTAATTCGACGCATTTATCATACAAATACCCCGGAATAACCCAGCGAGATGCGCGCGCTGGGATTGAAAACATCACGAATGACCAAAAGGGAGAAGAAACGAACATGGAAGGAAAGAACCAAGAGTTTAGCTCTCGCTCCCTTCCTCGACGTTCCAGCGAGTGTCAATGCGCTATCTCCCTTCTGGCATTGGTGTTAGTTTCAGTATGTACAAAACAGTCGGCAATTCCGTTTCCCAACCTCACTGGGTTTTACCGAGACCATCCCTTTGCGACGCCATCGTTGTCCCGTCCATTCCCGAGGGTCTGGGAGAAGCGAGATGGAACGAATGTGAACATACATAAACTAGCTGGCGCATACGACCCTAGAACTGAGATTCCAAATAAAACCCCTTAAATTGATACTCGCCAAGTGTCTGTTACACTTTTCATTAGTTTTGGCTGAAATGTTCGGTACAGTTGTTGGTAATTTTTGTGAAATGACAGTTCGTCATTGAAAATTCACAATTTGATGAAAAAATTCATAAAAACTTCAAATTTCAGTTCAATTATACCATAAAAATTCGGCCAATTAATTATTCAATTCTCGTTTTCCTGCAGCTGAAAAACTTGAAGTTACATGAATTTTTCACCCCTCAAATTCAATGCCATATCGCTCTCCTGAATCCTCAGACCCATTTCGAAGTTCCATTGACAGCTGAGGCCTCCACCAAAAAAAAATCATAAAAAAAATCAACATCCCACAGTAAAAATGACGGTATCTTTATTATACGTCCTGAACAAGGAAGCGTAATTACGTTGCAAGCCGTGACGCAAATGGAACGTCCTGATGCCTCAGGTATATAACAACGACGATCAGTCCCGGTTGTACAGTGTGTAATATAGGTTGGGCTCTCTCTTTCCTGTTCTTTCAACTCACCATCTACTTCTCTCGCGTTAAAGCACATACTCTCCATTCTCCACCCAGGGTATCCCCTTTTTCTTCCCACCTTTTACTCTTTACTCCTTTTTTCGTTCGTTCCTGTCCTGTTACTCGGGTTCTCTCTCCCCCCCCCCCCTCCCATTCCCCTTTTTCTCTCTATGTACGTCGCATCTCGGGAGAAGGCCAGATGAAAGGTAAAGGGGAGTCGAGAGAGATGGAGCTAAAACCTGGGTAAGCCGAGGAAATTGCGCGACTGGATTCCCTCTCCCTCCCCCAGGCCTCAGTACTGCCACGAAACTTGGCTCGCCATCAAAAGGAATCGATTCTATATAACTTTCTTCCCTCGTTTTCTCCACTCTTACCATTTCTCTGTTTTTCCTTTTCCTCTTATTCTGATTTTTCATCAACAAAAGATTTAACGTTTCAAACCCCTTCGCCGGGGGAGACCTTTCCCAGTTTTGTCCCTCATAAAAGTGAAGAAGAAAATCACTTTATGGGATTCCTATTTATTGCCAGGCGAATGATGTTGAGTGTTTAATTTATGAATGGATGTCGTTTGAGGAAATAAATCGAAGTCAACATTTTTCGTGGACATCCTATTTTTTTTAAACTTTCCATCATCAAATTTGTCAATTAAGTAACGGATTTATTGCAAGAAAAATACTTCTCTTGAGACATTTGCTTCTCACAAATGAGGCATGAATATTTTTTAAACGTCTCGAAGCCTTGTTTATTTGCATGAATTTTATTTCTGTAGAAAAAGGAAAAATCACTCAGTTTTATTCTGCCTTTTCTTTTCCCGTTATTCTGATTTTTCATCAACAGAAGATTTAACGTTTCAAACACCATCGCTAGGAGACCTTTCCCGGTTTTGTCCCTCGTAAAAGTGGATGTGAAAATCACTTTATGGGGTTCTTATTTATTGCCAGGCCAATGATGTTGAATGTTTAATTTATGAATGGGTGTTATTTCAGTAAATAATCGGAGGTCAAGATTTTTCGTGGACATCCGAGTCTTTTTTAAACTATTCGATCATCAATAAAATTGAAAGAGTGTATGGATGATTCATTGCCGGAAAAACAATTTTAAATGAGCAAAATAAATTAATTAATGACACCTGAAGTCTCCCCCATCACCATTTCATCTCAGCCGAAAATTTCAAATTTAATGCACCCGAAGGACCTAAAGTCCGTCTCATTGTTAATCCCCGCGGTGTTTCGCTCGAATTGTTTCTGTAAAAACTTGAACATCACACGATATTTGACGACTGATGAGGCACGTCATACGGATCTGGCCGGTCACTTTGGAATGTCTCGGTCCATCTCCCTCCCTGTACGATTATTCTACCTGCTAACAAACCCGTCGGCAGAGACATTCCAACAAGGTCACAGCTCGCCACTAAACTTACGTTTCTCCGGTTCTTGGGTGCCTCATTCTCGTTAAATGCTTCATTCTCGATGCAGCATCGCGCTGGATGCGCAACTCCACGAGAACAAAGCCTATCGGCCATTGCAGGAGGATCCTCCAATGGTCGGTATCACGTATCTATGCCCATCGACCCCATTTGTACACGAAAATTCAAATTTCAGGGAAATTCATAACATTCTATGAAGTTCAATCGTGATTGCGATTAATTTTATTTGCAGAGAGAGGCCAAATTCGAACGAATATTAAATTTCTAGTCAAATTTTCGGGCATTTCTATCCCATGCGACATTTCCACTGGAATTTCAAGGAATTTCATAATTAAAAATTCAGTATTTGATGGGAAAATCAATGGAAGCTGTCAATTTCAATTCAATTATTCGTTGGAAATCAATATAAATAAGTGAATTTCAGTGTAACTTTTTTTAGTACTCAATATTGATGTTTCGATAGAAAATTCACTACAAGTTTGGGAATTCTCCTCTGCCTGCTGTTTGAAAACGACGAATTTCATCAAATTTTCCCTGAAATTCACAATTTCGTGACTTTCTCCCCCCTAAACCCACCGCAATGTCGTTCCCCCCGAGGATGCCCACCAAAATGTCCATAAAATTCCAATCTCTTATCAAGCAATGCATAACGCTCCCGACAAAGCCCAAAAGAAAACCTATTCCTCCTGAATTTCAACATTTTTCCCTCTACAACTGCACTCTACACAACCCAAGAATGAAGGCAGCTGTACAGAATAACTTGGGTGCAGCGGGTGAGACGCTCGATATTTCAGGCGGTCGCCCGGTAATATATAGATGAAAAAGAGGGTAGAGGGGTAAGAAGTAGAGACGAACGCGTCGTTCCTCGTAACGCCGACGCGGTGGTCCGTGTGGCTCACTTCGTTTCGTTTCCAACATCGGTGAGAGGATATACAAAACTTACTCGTACGATTTCCGTTTCACCGGATGAAAGCCCACGGGGCCAAAATCAACATAAAAAAAATTACATTAAAGTGACCCACATAATTTTTCTTCTTCTCTAACCGATGAAAAATGAAAAGTCATTCACTTACTTCGTCAATTGAATTCATCACACGGCGGAGATTCCTCGGGATTCTGGCATTTTTCGATCTGCAACAATAAGAATTTATGATTTTAAACTGAATAAAAGTTAGACTTGACGATTTAAATAACTAAATCGTCATTTTTATTTTTATGAATTTGTTTCTCGAAGGTTTTCACTCATTTTTGACTCGAAAAAGTTATTTTTCATGGAGTTGGGCACCTCCAGAGGCTCTTGGAGCTCGGACGAAATAGGAAATACTCAACGGCAAACGATATTTATGTAATTCGAAATGGGTTGCTCCCGTGGAGGCGTGTAAGGACGGGAAAATCACCAACATTCGTTATTTATCTGTGCATAAAGCCCGGGGGCACGAGACACGACTGCTTACGCACCTGTCGCATATGCTTGCGGCCACTCTCGGACTATCTCACGCTCCGGACAAGAAAGAATGAGGTGACAAACTGCACTCAAGCAGCATCATTTTCCCTGTCATAAATCAATCCTCGATTTTTTATTTTTTATCGTCTCTGGGGCGATTTGTGCCAGTTGTGCAATTAATCGGGATGAAGTCTTCCCGTTTGAGTTAATATAGGGTCTGATCCCGCTTCAATTAATATAGGACCTGATACCTAAGGCTGACCGTGACATCAGTCGAATCAATTATTAGACAGTGGAAAAACGAGTAAACCGAAACGTCTTTGATACCCGATATCTTTCGACAGAACGATGTGATTTGGATGAGTCACATCTCATTTTAAAATTAACGAAAATACCTTGGAAATGAAAAAAAAATGGAGAAATTTCACTCTGCCGTTCGCAAGTTGTAGACATTGAAGTGGATATAACCAATTTCATCGCATCGGGGAAAAGGATCCGACTTTAATTTTCAATAACTTGAGATCCGCAGAGTGAAATTCAACAATTTTTTTTCCATTTTGAAGCCTGAAAAAAAAACTTCAGATCGAGATGTGAATCGTCCCAATCGCATCGTCTGTTCAGGACGCACTGATGATTTAAGAAGGTTCATTTTAATTATCTCAACTACTTGATATCATTGATCATTCATCTATTTACCCCCTGACCTAGACCGCAAATTCGTACAAGCACCTTATGCGGTATATCAGAAGTGAGAATGATTAGGAAAAACTTCATTTGATCGTTAGCTTTTATTTTTATGTCTGAAATGAAAGGAGGAGACAACTTAACTTTCCATTGTCTCCTGCCCTCGGAAAAAAAAAAACTTAGACCCGATGTACACCAGTTATAACGCGTTCAAACAGTAGATCAATAAAGGCACCTTCACTACACACGCATCTACAATCACCAACTTATGCTTTCTACTTGCACCTAACCCCCTTTCTCAGGTTCTCAATCTGTATACGAAAACGTTATGGCTGGCCCCCGTGCGCGCTCAACTGTCGGTGCCAACCCCTCCTTCAACTACTCTTTCATTTTCCCTCTTCTTTCAATTTGTCGTATATTCTCGGGCTGTTACAAAGTCTCGGTGTCATAAATAAATGGATAGGGCAGCGAGATTTTGGGGAAATGGTGTTTGTTGGGGATTTGTAGCTTATTTTATCCACATTTTGGGATTATAAACGGGATAACTAGAGGTTTTACTGTATCTAATGAATTTTTAATGAAGATTAAGACATTTTTTTTTCTATTTTCTGTGGTTTTATGGTTTTTTAATCAATTTTATTTTTTTTTTCGTTCTTTATGTTTTCTATTTTATGAAATTTCTTAATTGTAAAAAATTAATATAATTTTTGTGTAGAAATGCTCTTCTTGATTTGAAACAGAAATGTTTTGTTGAATAATTTTTCCTTTTCCATAATTTTCTTTTTTTTTTTTAATAATTTGCTGATATTTTTTCAAAAAGTGAAAAAAAATTAGAAAAAAAATTAATGAAATATTAGCAATATATGACTATTAATGTTCCGCATTGTATTCCCTCCACAGAGGATAAACCTAGTTATGCATCGAGATTCGATCCATCTAGTTACTTGTTAGATAACCCACTTCGAAAGCTCATGAATAAGAAGATCGAGAAATGCATGGATTTGTGGCTCGTGTTGCAGGGCGACGGCATCACCAACAATTTTATTTTCGTCGGTGAGCGAATGCGGGTATACCTCGCTCAATAAAACGAGATTCCGCGATGTTATCGCGTACGAATATTTTTATTCCCCCGGCCCTTTCCAATGGAGTAACAATGAAGAGTCGTAAAATCGTAGGAAAAAATTGGCCAACGAGTTTCGGATGATTCTGGCGAACATGCCGCTGAAACTATCGGAGTATTCAAATGGGAACAATTCAATTTAGGGGATTTTTGAGGGCTTAAGGGTCAAACAATCATGTGAACAACCTTATGAGTCAAAAATATTTTTACACCCCTCGAAAAAAGTTAAAGTATCAGAGTTGATTGAAGAATACTAAAATTTAAATGTTCTTAATATCTCCGGAACAAATTATACGATTTTCACGAGTCAAGTCTCATCTTAAAGCTCACAAAAATACCTTTGAAATGAAAAAAAAAAAAGGGAATTCCACTCTGCCGTTCTCGAGTTATAGAAGATTAAGAAGTTCGCCCCACTCCCCCGGTTATTCTTGAATTAACAATTTTCGTGTTCTTAATTAATTCTCGTTAGCATAGGCAGAATGATTTTTTTATTTACCGAGGGGATTGAATGAATACGTTGAACAATCATTGAGACACATGTCATTGTTGTTTTCCCCCTCTTATTTTTATCACAACTGTTGTTAAAGCGTCATAAATACGTGTAATCGATCACTCCGATAACGTGCAGACGATGAACGGCCTGCTTGGCAGTAATTGATAATCACGGTTAATCAGAGTGATGAGATAACTGTTGCATGGTTCGGATTTTGATGGTGATAGGGTGAAAAGCGATATTTAATGTCAATTGAGGGAAATTAATATTTTTGAATTGTCCGCTGTCGAATATTCCGCTAGTTTCATCGGCTTCACTCGATAATTGTCTCGACAGATGGAAAAAATTGATTAGTCGAGCCGCAGTGAATACTCCAGTTCTATGCAGATGGTCTTGCTACACGAACGAGAAATTCCATTTACGGTGTTGATCAAGCATTATACACTGTGAGCCTCAAGGAAATGCTCGTGTCAGTGTAACATCGAGACTGAATCATCGGTGGAGCGCTAGTGAATCACACGCATCGTTCTCCATACCATGAGACCTAAAGTTTCACCAACTCCATTGCAACACGCAATCGACCTTTTTCAGAGTCGTATGTATTACAATAAATTGAGTAAATAAATAAACCAAGGGGGAGAATTAAGACTGTCGAGAGAAGAGAAGATGCAGTCCTGCATAAATCGCGATATCACAGGGGAGAAGAGTAAACTATGCAGTTTTTAATCATCCATAACTCGAGATGGGCAGAGTGAAACCGAGAAAAAAAATTCACGTTAAAGATATTTTTCGAAGCTTCAAAATGAGACCCGATTCATCCGCATCGCGCTAGTTGGGCCGGAGTATTAATGGTTCAAGAAGCTCCTTTCCATTTTTGCTCAATTTAAGACGGACATTTAATTAAATCGTTCCCGTCCGGAGGAGAATTATTTATTGAATTAATGATGGCATTGGGAGATCGCAATATTCAAGCTTTCGTGATAATTTCCTGTTTTTTCAATTACATCATCAGCCGTAATTCACGCCACATTCCCAAACAGGAAAAAATACTTCAAACTTAATAACAATGTTTGAACTAAGGGACGATTTCCTCACTTTAGCAACGGATTTCTTGATTTTAAACACACAGAATGCTCAATTGAATTGAATTTTCTCTGCGTGAAAACCAAAAATTCTTCATTCCCTCCAATTTCCCACTAAAAAAAAGGATAGAATCTCCTTCCATGATTTTTCGAACGTGCTTTTTATGCAATAAGTGATAATTTTTTTAGCTTATCGGTCATATTATTATTTACACTTAAAATGGCCCCAGCGTTTCGACCCTCATTCTGGCTCCTCTCAGCGCAATTTTCCATAAATCTGTTGTAATCATTAATGATCTGTATGAGTTAATAATAATAAAATTTCACAGCAATAATTCTCCTCGAACCCAGTGTCGTCCTCATCGCGTTAACTCGACATACGCGACTTTCTAGGAAGAAGCCACCGCCTGAGTTAAGCAGCCATAATCGCTTGTGGCTCTTTCTCAGCAACTCCGAGTATACACAAAAATGTAACCGTATAGGTGATGATGTTTCAACGTATGAGTGCTTGAATCTCTTGGTGGCGGGTTTGAAACTTGCACGACGCAGCAAAAAGAGACAGAGAGTAAAATGAATGCCCTAGCGATGCCCGAGTAAGAGTCTTCTTTGGCGTGTGGAATATAACTCAGGATGCTACAGTCATGGGGAAAGGGTGAGGTGGGGGAAGGGGAAGGGGAGGGAAACTGCGGGTATACGTGTACGTGTCTGCCTTACGTACACCGGTTTATAAGGTGACTGCACCAAGAGCCCGGCTTCCAGGCTATCCTCCTCAGCCATTAATAGGAGTTTATTAATTTTTATTTTCCACGATATACCGTAGAGGCGAGTGATTATCCCGCATGATTTCAATTATTTGTCTCATCTCGACGTCAGTCATTATTTTTTTTTTTTTCGTTCCTTCGATTGAACCAGAGGAATGGCTTATTTGAATTAAATTAATGGGTTTATTTTAACAGCTCGTAATGAAGCTTTTATTCACACTTGCATTCGAGTTTTATTTGGATTGAATAAATTATTTTTTTAAAATTGAAACTAATGTTTTTCTTCATGCGAATATTGACTTTATTAAAATGGAATAATCCTTTATTTGGAATTAGTCGATTATTTATTTAATATATTTATGAACGCGACCCCATGATTTCACTTGTTTGTCTCATCTCGATGCCAGTAATTTTTTTTTCCGTTCCTTCAATTCAATGAGGAATGGTTTATCTGAATTAAATTAATGGGTTTACTTTAACAGCTCATAATGAGGCAGAGTGGATAAATTATTTTTTTTAATTAAACAAATGTTTTCCTCATCCGAATAATGACTTTATTACAATGGAATAATCCTTTATTTGGAATTAGTCGATTATTTATTTAATATAATCCAGTTTCATTGGAATAAATGCATGAATCCATGAATGTCCGACGTAAATATTTCCCATAAAGAGCTTAATTTGATTCAAATGCATCATTTCTCCGATTTTACAGCGAAAAATAATAATTCCCAGTGAATTTCCCGCATTTCTGGCAGCATAATTAATCGATTATTAACGCGACAGGCATTTCGAAAATTCACGAGTTCATGGGGCTCCCTTCGTATCGTCCCACCCATACCCACTGTGTTGGCCGTCAGTTGCCAATGTGGTTACCCCCCTCTCATCTCTCTCGCCAGCGTCCCCCATTATATCTCGTCTGGTCCGGAGCAACCCGCCACGAAATATCCTCCGATGCTTCTGCCAGAACTCGAGTCGTTAAAATACTGTGGAATACTTGAGGTCTCAACGGGAAAAATTTAGGGATTGCTGGCGATATCAGGTGTCTGGAAAATTATCATTCATTTTCCGGACACTGGGGGTTTATTATTTGGCGAATGGCAAACAGTTTTATTATACTGGGAATTTTTTTACTGAAATTTCCCAACTTTACTTTATGAGTGTTTTTATCAAATGAACATTTCACTGAAATTTCCAGCGATTTTGTCAAAATTCAAAATTCAAAATCAGAAAAATTCAGGTGAATATCTTCTTGAATTATCAATTAATTAAAATTTCAGGATAATTTGGTACTGAATATTCATGTTTTGATTGAACATTCAAGTAATTATTTGGGGAATCCTGCAGAAAAATTTGGAATTTTACTGAATTTTCTGTGAAATCTGAAATTTCATGAATCAAATCCAATTGATTCAAAATTCTCCTGAAAATTACTAGTCAACAATTACGTAGAAGGAGCAGTAATTTTTGGTTTTAAGAGACGGACTTTATAAATTTGGTATTATTCGTCTCTCGTTCTCAGGGAAAGTTACATTCCTCATATGATCAGGGGAACCTATTATTTTTTTTGGAGATTCCCACTGTCGTTACTCTCATTTAAGCCATGATAATTCTATTCTAATGAGAGAAATGAATGATTTTCTCAAAAAAGTGTCGCCCTTCGACATAAACGTCTCCCTAAATTTCATAAAGCAATTGACGCAAAAATTTGCGAAAAAGATATTTCTCCAAATTACATAAATTATGAACGTCTAATTATTATCCTTATGTAGTAGAAAGAATGATGGGTTTAAATCCCTCAAATAAAAAAATCAACGATTTATCTAATTTTTTATGAGAATAGAAAGCCCAATGGTCAATTTTATTTCCTCCTTCTTAGTCATAACAATTTTCTGGTTGATGAGTTTTCTAATTAAACTACGTCATTGCGATTATAAATGCTCGCATCAAAGTCATTTGTTGAGTGATCACTCGAGCCTAGTCAGCAATAAAATTACAACTAGTTTAGAAATCAATCAACTCCGTTCGGCTTTCTTAATTAGTTGTTGATGTTGAACTTTGTCACTGGGGCAATTAATCATAGCACATGCTGGACAGAATGTCATGACACGGTGAATTTGATAAAAAGTTTGGAGATTCTTAGAGAAAATTATTGGGGGTCAAGTCAAGTCGTTGAATGAAGGGTTTTCCCTGGCAATCCTCCCCAAGTGACAGTTTCAGTCTTCAATAGATTAAAAATTCAGAATAATAATCATGGTATTGACCCGAAAATGGCAATTTCTCTGAAAATTCCAGAAAATAAGTTGCTCTCCCGGAACAACCCCTACGAAAACGTGAACTAGTCATAAAAATTTCAAAATGAATTATCCGAAAGTCCAGGCGTAATTTTCTAAAACCAAAAAAAATCCTTCCAAGAGGAATTAAAAAATTCCAAGTGTTTGACTTTCGCCATAAGCACTGGTCAAGAATTTTTGCGTGCGCCAAAAAAGCCATAACTATCCCAAAACAATTCCCCGCATGGAAACTCCCCCTGAACAATTGAAAAAGCCCTCAGTCATGCAGAGGTGCGTGCCTCCCCCCATTCCCCAATCCACAAACTATTACTCGAAATGCAGCGAAGCATTAGCCGCCTGCTTGTACTCGGTCGAGTCATAGAGCACCGAGAATTTATACTCTCTCTGGGGCCCCCAGTGGGATCGATACGCACGACGATTATTTCGGGAGCATGCCGGCTCGCTCCTCTCTCTCTCTGCTCTCCCCTCCCCGCCCCCTGGACTCACCCTCTCTCTCGTTCCTCGGGTACGGACGTTGGAGACCCTTTTCATCCCCTGGGGACCGAGCAAGACAGAAAATGGAAACGCGACTGCGACGCCTCGATGAGCCGCTTCGAAGAACCCGCGCCTCCCCCCCATCGTAAAATCCCCTTCCCCATTTGTTCTACTCTCTCTTTCCATCACTTGAAAAGAAAAAAAACGCAGCGAAGCTTTTTCGTACCGGTGAATCGATATCTATTGACGGGAGAAACACCCACACAATGTGGGCATTACTGTTTTAAGGTGTATGCGTCATCAGTGGGACATTGTCAAGTGAAAAACATCTTAAATAATAATTTCAAGAAACATGAAATGGCATTTTAGTTACGACGCGTTAAACGACTCGAGTTGATTTGACTATTGGTCAGTCTTCAGTGAATATCTCGGAATCTAGGGGAGATAGTGAAACTTTTGTCGTGACAAAAAAGGTCATCATGAAAATTTCACTGAAATATTTTTTTTTATTCAAAATTTTAAGTGAAAAAATTTTCATTTCAGATTTACTACATTACGTCTTCCACGAATTCTCCACAATAGTATATGACATGCCGGTAAAATTGTATTGAATTTTGTAGAATTAAAAAGAACGAAACGTCGGGAGGAAAAAACAAAGAAATAATTAGATTAATGAGAGAATAAATTAAGAGATTGTAAATTCCAGAATTCGAAACCGTAAAATGTGAAATTAAATATGTGCGTATGCGGTACATATCTATCACGTCAAAACAAATATTCCCAGCATAAAGAAAAAATAAAAACATATTTGAAATAAAAAATTTCAAGGCACAAAACCGACAGCCACTTTTTTTATGAAATATGAGTTAATAGAAAAATGCTTAATTTGACATTCAATACGTCATCCATTTCACAAATCCCCCATAATAGCACATTTTATGTCTGTGAAGTTGTTTTAAATTTTGTGTAATAAAAAATTGTAGTGAGAGAAAAACAAAGAAAAATTATATTGATGAGAAAAAAAATTGTGAGATAGTAAATTGAAGAATTTGAAACCGTAAAATGTGAAACTGAATATGTAAATACGTGCTACATATGTATCGCCTCAAAACAAATATTTCTGACATTTAAAAAAATAATAAAAACGAAATGTGAATTAAGAATTAACCTGAGAATATTATCATAAAAAATAAAACTCTCGATTTCTCTCAATTAACATCAAATATCGTTTTTTTACCCCATTACCATCAAAACCCGAACTATGCAACAGTTACCTCATTACTCTAATTATCCGTAATTATCAATTACTGCCAAGCAGGCCGTCCATCGTCCGAACGATATCGGAGTGATCGATTATACGTATTTATGACGCTTTAACAACAGTTGTAATAAAAATAAGGCGGGAAAAAACAACAATGACATGTGTCTCAATGGTTGTTCATCGTATTAATTATTAAACCCCCTCGACAAATAAAAAAATCATCGCGCTTATGCTAATTGAAATGAATTAAGAATACGAAAATTATTAATTCACGAGTAACTAGGGGAGAGGGCAGAAACGAGTCCTCCTTAATCTTCAATAACTCAAGAACGGCAGAGTGAAATTCCCCTATTTTTTCTTCGTTCTCAAGGTATTTTTGTGAGCTTTAAAATGAGACCTGACTCGTGAAAATCGCATCGTTTATCCCAGAGATATTAACGATCAAAGACTGTTACTTCGATTCCATTTTTTCTACCCCTTCATAAACAACATTTAAACATTAATATTCTCGAATGAACTTTACTACTTTGACTTTTTTCCCGTGAAAGAATACTCAACAGTTCGACATAAGCACAAAATGCCTGGATCAAGCCGAATTGCCCCGTGCGGCACATAACAACAAGGCATCTTCTGAAATAAAAATCCCCAGAACAATGAAGTGAACGATTCGCCAGCGGAAGATTCGATTCAGGCGAATCTAGGGGTGTAAAAATATTTCCCAGTCATGTTCAAACCCGTTGGCACTTGAAAAAAGTTTACTGGCACGACTGTTGGACCCTCAACAAGCCCCCGAGACCCCTGAAACCGACGTTTCCCCGTCGAATATTCCCCTAGTTTCATCTTCACCCCCGAATACCAAATTAAAACGCATCAGATCGCCATGTCTCTCGTCGAAGGTGATTAGTCACCCACAGTTCTGCCTATCTTCCCTATAACGAAACATCCTCCGATCGATTTCGCAAGCGCAAACGAGGCGCTCAACAAAAAACATGGAAAAAAAAATCCCATAAAGAAAAGGGAGAGATCGTGATCGCCTTGTGGCGATGAAAACGATCGAAAAAAAAAGAGCCCCGAGTACCAGTGAAATAAAAATGCCAAGACAGTTGAAATAAAACATTTCGCTCCGAAGAGCGAGGTTGGAAAAAGGGAGAGAGAAAGAGAGAGACTGGATTCCTTTTCCCGACAAAGGAAGAACCGTTGGGCGTTTGCGAACCGGTCACGCACCAACGCCACCGTTTGTGCCTTCTCAAATCCCCATAAAAAACTGCATCCACGGGTCTATTCAATTCTTATCACCACCCCAGACCATTTTTCACCATTAAACCCCCAAAATCACGTCTCTAAGCGTCGAAAAAAGCCCATGAACGCCCGTTAATTGAGGTCATTAACGGTAAAAAACAGTTGTAGCAAAACAATAAGTCCCAAGGATCATGTAAATCATTGAAATTCACCTGACGTTGTGCTGATGCGTAGAAATACTCGATTATCTTCACGCAATGGTGCGCAGGTGTCACGGATTTACTCTAAAAAAAACCCACAAATAATACATTCACAACACAAATTAAATCACAAGAAATTAATCCACAGCGAAAACACCAACTGAACTCCAATAAATCACACACGAAATAAATTAAATAATAGAATTGTCCAGTGCACGAGTTTCAACTCCCCACTTGATTTCTCCCGTCTCACATGCAGTTGTAATTGTTTTTTATTATTTATTTTTTATTTAGATTGCTGAGCGAGATGGACAGGTCCACACACCACGGCCGACGATGGCGGAATGAGCTGAGGCGACACTAGTGGCGCACCCACGAAACACTGGTCTCTCCGACTCACACGCGAGAAACACCAAATCGTGGGGATTTTTATTCGAATGTCTGTGTGCGTATGGGGGAGGGGGGGGGGGGGCAAGAGAGATGAGTAAGGGTACACCTGGATTCTACCTAACGGGTGTCCATTACGCTATTTCACTTTCGCCTCGACCTTGTACTTCACCCATTGTTTTTTTTTTTCGAAAAATTGTTTCGTTTGTTTTCGGGCATTTTTCATGCTGGGATGCGTGAATTCGAAGGGAATTTCATAGGATTTTATTCAGCAGGTGAAGTGCAGTCGACTTCAGAGAGAAAATGCGGTTCTCTTCGTATTCTCCTGCCTTTTTGGTTGCTATTCCCGAAGATTTTTGATAGTCTGCAATTTCCCATCCCGATTCATTCACAAATTCATCCGCAAATGGTGAATGAAAATTCCTTCATTCGGATTTTCGTGGATATATACTATTTGCCGAAGGATCCAACGATTTTATCTCGTGATTTTAACTCGTCGGATTGTGTTCCAATCTTTTTGGCATTTTTAATTAAACGATTTGATGCGTCTTCGGGAAGCAAGAGCCGCCGCAAACACACGCAATCCAATCCAGGGGCAACCAAAGATGGCGAATGGTGGAAAAAATATAAAGGCAAATGAAAACAAATTAATTGAAAATTGAGCAGTATATTTACCTGAATTTTTGATTCCACCTAACGGGTGTCCATTATGCAATTCCACTTTCGCTTCGACCTTGTACTTCACCCATTTTTTGTTCAATTGTCGTTTTGTTTGTCTTTGGGAATTTTTCGTGGTGATATTCGTGGATTCGACTGGACTTTCATAGGATTTTATTCAGCAGGTGAAGTGAACTCGACTTCCGACAGAAAATGTGTTTCTCCTCGAGTTCTCCTGGCTTTTTGGTAGATTTTTGATAGTCTGCAATTTCCCCTTCCAATTCATTCACGAATTCATTCGCGAATTCATTCGCGAATGTTGAATGAAAATTCCTTCATTCGCAGGTTTTCGTAAATATTCATGTACCGAAGGACCCAAGGATTTTCACCTGCGTAATTGTCTTCCAATGGTTTCCGCATTTTCAATTAAATGACTCGATGCATCTTAGCGAAGTAAGAGCCACCGAGATCCCCTAAAAACAATATGAGACAGTCTCTTCCATCGCACACATACAAAATCCAATCCATCGTGGAAACCAAAGATGGCGAATGGCGTAAAAAAAATATATAAAGACAAATAAAAGACAAAGATTCGAGAGGACACGAGAAAGGCATGCGCAGGAACGAGCGAGACGGCTGTTGAATAAGGACAGTCGTTCGACCGCGTTGCCTCTACGCGAATCGAGAGACCCATGCCCGCGAGATTGCCGGGCGATGGGGGAGGGGAGTAGGAAGCAGAGAAAAGAGAACTGAACATTCCCCTTTGTCGCTTTTGTCGCTTGTGTGGAGGATCTTGTGCATGTATATGCCGGGAGACAAAAAATATACGCGTGCGATCGTACACACTTACTGATACATAACCTGCGCCAGCTGTACGACTNCCCCTACCGCGGTCGCGGTGGGACGGAGTATATGTAATGTATTTCGTTGGCATTACAACTTATCCCGGGATGAATTTCTGGGAAATCGTGGGATTTGATGGATTTTGGGGAAAATCGATCGATGGGATTGAATGAAAAATCTTATTCGTGTGGGATTTACTTAATGGGGATCGGGATTTCAGTGGGATTGAGGTAGGGTTGAAGGGCTGATCTTGGAGAGATGTTGAAAAAATGTAGTTTTAATTATAATTTAGGAGGAAACGAATCACGTTGTTGTAATAGTGAAAGATTGACTGAATTGATTAAATTATTGATCAGGGATTATCATATTCTGAGACATTCTCACTTGTCCCGTTGTGAATTTTTGAGAAATAATGGAAATAAACAAGCCGCGAGCATTGAAACCTATTTTTAAATCGTATGGGTTGAGATTGTTTGACCCAAACTACTTGACCCGTCATTTTGACCCATATGATTTGATCCGAGTGGATAAAAAGCGCTCACGACTGAAATTATGAAATGCAAGAGGTTTTTCACACAGTATTTAGTTGATTCAGATCATATGGGTCAAGACGATTGGCCTACACGACTTGACCCTCAATTTTGACCCATGTGATTTGACCGTAATCGAAAAAGGACTCTCAAGAAGATGCGACAGATTTTTCACAGGATAATTCATAGTCTCCTATCACAATTCAATGCAAAAGACTAATTTTTACGTCTTTATACGCCCACACCCTATAATTTATTCTCAATAACATGGAAAAGTGTATTTTGTTGTATAAGTTGAAGAGCCAAATTGATAGTTTGCTCCAAAGACGGGGTCAGTAGTTTGTACTCCCCAGCTATTGTTATTCCACATTCGCAATTATGAATAATGGAATGAAAAATCCATAAAAGGACTTTTACGTTGTAGATGGCGTCATGTGACGGCGCCGGAAAATTTCTGTTACATCGACAGTGGAAACACTACAACTGTAGATTACCACGTCTTTTTATTAAAAAAAAATTAGTGTAATGGTTGAATAAAAATTCTTTCAGTATCATAAAACGAGATCATTTTCGTTTATCGCAAAAAAATCGTTAATTTCGCTTCTTAAATGTGAATTTTGTGAATATTGTCAACCATCTGTGTGTGAAAAAAGGAAATACCGTACTGTACGTCAAAGAGGATAGACTAAAGTAGAGGCTCAGATCTCGGGGTTCAGGCGACCCCCAGCCGAAAATAGTATCACCCCAGCGGAGGGATGGCGCCACGGTCGAATCTAACGGCTGGGCGAGCTGCCTGTATCGGTAACTCGGCAGTAGCAGTCCCGCTGTCACACGGATAATTTCGAAGGGAAATTTATGCCCTAGTCGTCATCAACATGTTGTTAATGTTTTTCAGGTGATTCATTTGCTGGCTAATTAATATTAAAGAATGAAACACAGACGGTGTGATAGAGAATTGAATTCCCCATCAATCGATCCCCGTTGCATCCCTTAATGTCTGTAACAAAAAAATACAAACTACGACAAAAGTCATGGGCCAGTGAGAAAATTAATAAAAAATAATTAAAAATTTGTCCCTCCTAATTGAAATTAAGGCATGAAAAAAAGGCTGTTTGACGGAGAACTGAATTTACCATCAATACACCCTATAATAGGTTTGAAGGCTCTATCGATCATAGTTCCCGAGATAATCGCCAAAAACGAAATCGCAAAAAAAAATTAATTCAATTTATCTTGTACGGGGTGTAGGAAGTGGAAAAACGCTACTCTGAGCCGTCCATTTGCCTATAGGGAAAGTAAATTTTCTCAGGAATCGAATGGAATAGGTTTCAAGGCTCTAGCTCTCATAGTTTCCGAGATAATCGCGAAAAACGAAATNAAGTGGAAAAACGCTATTCTGAGCCGTCGATCTGCCTATACGGAACCCAAATTTTCTCAGGAATCGAATGGAATAGGTTTCAAGGCTCTAGCTCTCATAGTTTCCGAGATAATCGCGAAAAACGAAATCGCTAAAAAAAAATTAATTCAATTTATCTTGTATGGGGTGTAGGAAGTGAAAAAACGCTATTCTGAGCCGTCGATCTGCCTATAGGGAACCCAAATTTTCTCAGGAATCGAATGGA